CAGTCTGGTTTTCAATGCCAGGGCAAGATTGGTGGGGAAAGTCTCCTTTCCTTCTGCTGTTAATCAGTTAATTCAGAAAATAATTCTTGATTGCTCTACTGTGTTCCAGGCTCTATGTTTAGCAATAGGTGGACCAAGTAGAGAAACACTTGCTCCCAGAGAACTCACAATCTACTCAGAGGCACGGTACCAGTCTGCTAAGTGCAAGCACATTGGGATGAATGAAAAGGTGTGGACTGTGGGAGGTGCTTCGTGGAGATAATGTTTAGACACTGAGGGTTGATAGGACTGTGAAGCAGTGTGCCTTCAAAGCTGGCATTCTGGGGTTCAGGGGCGCAGGAGCTGAGAGGTGCTCAAGAGGGAGGATGAAAGGGCCACAGAGCACAGAGTGGTAGAGTGTGGTTGATGCCACGCTGGACATAAATCCTTTCAGACACTTCCTGTTCAAGTGCCATCGTGTCCTTTCTCTGCTCACAAACCTCCAATGGCTTCTCTTCTCACTCTGAGTAAAAACCAGATCCCTGCCAATGCCTCTAAGGTCCACCTCAGAGGGAGACCTCTCCAACCTCAGCTCCCCTAGTTGTCTGCATCACTCACTCACTCCAGCCTCATTGACATCCTTCCTGTTTCCTGTCCACAACAGACATGCTCCTGCCTCAGGGACATTGTATCTGCTCTCCCCTTGCCTGGAAATGCTTTTCTTTCAGAAAACTGCATAGCTCACTCCTTCATGTTTTTACTTAAATGTTACCTTCCCAGTAAGGGCTTCCCTGCCTACTTTATCAAAAATTTAAGCCTCCATCTTTGCACAGCACATGTGATAGACTGCCAGTCCCCTGACCCCTTCAGTCCACTCTCTTCTTGCTTCTGGTCACCTGTTTGCCCCATAAAGACTACATTTCCCAGCTTCCCTTGTAGCTAGATATGATCATGGGACTAGGTTCTCACTAATGATAGGTGAGAGAGTTAATTTTTGTGTAACTCCTGCCTCCCTTGCCTGAAAGGAAATTGTTTGCCTTAGATTCCCTTCTCTTATCACTTTCCCTCAGACTGGACCCCAGACAGATCAGTGACCCAGCTTCAGTCCCACACATGAGGACAGTATCTTAGAGGATGGCAGAATAATGAGGTAGAAGGAATCTGGGTCCCTGAATGACCCTATGGAGCAGAGATGCCCCCTCCACCTAGAACAGTAAGACATTCACATAAGGGAGAGAAACTTCTATTTAAGTTACTGAATATTTGGATCACTTTGTTATAACGACTCTGCGTATGCTCTAAGCTACACATCTCCTCTATAAATTCCCTGATTTATTATTCTGCCTAGTACTACACACCATCTAACACTCCCAATATTTTCTTCTTTTGTTTATCATGTGTTCCTTAAGTAGACTGTGAGTTCTTCCAGGGCAGGGGGTTTAGCATCTTTGTTCACTACTGCATCTCCAGCACCTAGTACAGTGCCCAGCTCATAGTAGGTGCTCAATGAATATATTTGGAATGAAATGTTATTGTCCACTGAAAATGAAATCAAAGGCTACGCCGTGAAGACAGAGCTTCAGTAAGTTCTGAAAAAAAATCCTAGGGCAAGGTGGGGGGCAGTAAGAGGATAGGAGTGGGGAGGGGAAAATGAGTGAAAACAGTGAGGAACGTCATTCATGGAGGGTTGAGAGAAGCGTGGAGTCCGAGGAGGGGTGGAGTTTTTAATCAGGTCAGAAAAGCCCCTCAGCTCTCCTGTGTTTGGGAGCGAGACTCTGGGGGCTTTGCTTCAGCATGTCTCCCCGCTGGTATTGGTTTTGGCATTGACTTTTATATGAAAGAGGAAGAAAGATTAAGTTTTTTCCCATTTAGCAGGAAGTAAGTCATGCTCTCTCCTGCATTCCATCTACCCTTATTTTCATCCTCTTGAGAAAAATCTATATCCTAATATTCAGGATAACTTGCCTAGAATCCTTGAGGTGGAAGGTATTCATAGCAATAGCTGTGACATATTGGGAAAACCATTAGGATGGAACTGAATTGCTTTAGATTTAATCTGATGCCTTCCTAGCCTGGGTGGTCGTGAGTAAATGGATTGAACTCCTTTGTCTTTGGCATCCTCGCCTGTAAAATGAGTGTAACACTGGACACTGAATAGCGTCCCCCCAACCTCCAGTACCTCAGAATGTGACTGTATTTCAAGACAGGGCCTTTAAAGAGGGAATAAAGTTAAAACGGGGTTGTTAGAGTGATCTCTAATCTGATATAACTGGTGTCCTTATAAAAAAGATTAGGACACACACACACACACACACGCACACAGAGGGAGACACCAGACGCTTGCACACACAGAGGGGTGACCATGTGAGCACACAGCAAGATGGTGGCCATCTGCAAGCCAAGGAGAGCAGCCTCAGAAGAAACCAAACCTGCTGACACCTTAATCTCAGACTTTTGGCCTCCAGAACTGTGAGGAAATAAATCTTTGTGGTTTTATGACACCTAGTGTGTGATATTTTGTTATGACAGTCCTAGAAACTAATACATGAGATAATGTGGAAAGCTAACAAAAGGGTGTGCTGTACCTGCACTCAAATGCTTGTCTTCTAAAGTTGCATTAATAGAAGCAAATATTTAAAATACAGGATGTACCAGTCCTGTCGTATGCTGGTCAGAACCCATAGAGTGAATCCGGAATCCCCTTCTGGAAACAAACTCTGATTGCTTGGGGGTGGGTGGCCATTGGGAAACTGGGTCCCATCCAGAGAAAGGCTACAAGGCTGGCGAGGAGTCTAGGCACTGTTACACTGTGCAAAGTAGCTAAGTTTAACCCAGAGAAAGGAAGAGTTAAGGGGACATAAAGCCATCTCCAAATGGGTAAAGCACAGTCTTAAGGAAGAGGAATTCCATCTAGCTGTGTGGGCCCAGATGGGAGAGCCGGGACCAGTGTGTAAAAGTTTCAGGGAGGTAGGTTTCAGTTCAGTACAAAGAGGGCTTTTCTAAGAGAGCTGTGGGCAAACATTACAGGCTTCCTCAAGTATTCCATGAGGCTGCATGACCACTTAGCAGAAATGTCAGAGGGGGGACTCAAGCACAGGTCCTGTGTTTGCACCAGATAAACTTGGATGTTTCTTTCAATCCTGATATTCTCTGTACGACTGGATTGTACTTATCAGCTGGAGAACAGGTCTCAATAGCGCTTAGACATATCTCTTATGATTATAAAGACATACACATGGTCAACAAATGTTTCTGAGTTTGTTGATTTGACGGCTTATTAGAAAGCTTTAGAAAATTTACTGAGAAAAACAATTACATAAGTATTCAAACTCTAGAGGTCAGTCATAGGACCTTGGAAGCATGGGTACCCAGCTAAGATTTTGGAGCCCCAGAGCACAAGCTTTAGCAGAAATGAGCTTGTGCAAGTGAAAAATCTTAAACTTATTCTATACAAAGCTGCCATCTCAGTTTTACAAAAGCAAAAATAAATAAATAGAAAAAATGCTGAATTAGATTTATTTACTAAAAGTTAATCTATCCTGAAAGAATTTGTTAAAATTACTCCCAGTAAGAGTCGACAGAGTAAAAGCTGTAATTTCCTGACTACCATCAGTAATGTGAGATTTGGGGAAAGCCGACGGAAGCAGAGGATGATTTGGTGGCGGTATCCGAAACATGGTTTTCATATCTACAAATTGCTACAGAATAATGGGGTGCCGCTGGTTCTAAAGTGCTGCCTGCCTGCACCACCTCATCAGCTCACACCCCTTAACTACCGTGGCTGGGACGGAGGCCCTCGGAGCCAGGCAGGCCAAGGAAGACCAGCCTTGCGCAGGGCCAGCGGGTGGCCAGAACCAGTGGGGAGTGAGCTGCACCCTTCTGCGGGCTGGGCTCGGGCACCAAAAGCCGCAGAGAGACAACACCGACAAGGCGAACTCTCTCCAGATAAACTTGGATGTTTCCGAGGTAAACACCCTCGACGCCCTTGGGTTCCGATCCACAGCCCCAGAAGCACCCCACCCCCCCGCCGCCCCCTCCTCCGTACTCCACCTTCTGCAGCGGCACCGAGAACCCTCCCTCTCCCCGCAAGGAGAGCGCGCGCCGGGCGGAGGTTCGGAGGGGCCAGCGCATCTCCCAGACAGGCTCAGAGTCCTCCTGCACAAGCCTGCGGCTCGCAAAAGGGCAAATATCAAGGGAGAGGGGGAGGGGGAAGAGTGTCATTCGGGCTCTGAGGGGACACGCAGAGCCTTGGTGGGACGTGGTGAGGTGCGGAGAGCTAAACGCAGGAAAGGAAGAGACTTTGGCAATTGGCCGTCCCCCGCCCCGCCCACGTGAACCCCGTTGGTGGTGAGGGTCTTGGGGTGGGGACCGGCCGGGCTGTGCACTCTTGTCCCACGGGTTGGAGCCACCACCGCGGCAGCAGCCTAAAGCGGAGCCCTCTCCCGCGCCGTGCCGCGCTCTGGGGGCACCGGAGGACGCACGGAGGCCGCGGCGGCCACCCGGGCTCGCGCGCAGCCCAGGCGGAGACCGCCGTCCTGCGGCAGGAACGGGGTGACCCGGCCCTAGGCCTGTGCCGACAGGTGCAGGCGCGCGGGCTTCCGATTGGTTGCGGCGGCGGCGGGTCCCTTCCCCCTCCCTGCGCTGGCGGGGCCCCTTCCCCAGCCGCGGCGCTGGCTGGGTCTGCGGAGGCGCGTGCCCGCCGCGTGCGTGTCCGGGCTGCGCGCCTCCGCCCCGCCCCCGCCCCCTCCCTCTCTCCGCGCCGCCGCCGCGCGCTCGGGAGCTCAGGTAGCGGGCGCGCGGGTGACTCCTCGGGGGCGCGCGGCTAGACTGCCGTCCTCCCCCGCGCAACTCCCGCACCCGTCAGCTCCCGGAGCCTGGGGAGGGAGAGCGCGGGCGGGGGGAGCTGGAGCCGGGCGCCGCCGCCGCCGCCGCCGCCGCCGCCGCCGCCGCCGCCGCCGCCGCCGCCGCCGCCGCCGCGGCTTCCGTCTCGCTCGCTCGCGCAGCGGCGGCAGCAGAGGTCGCGCACAGATGCGGGTTAGACTGGCGGGGGGAGGAGGCGGAGGAGGGAAGGAAGCTGTATGCATGAGACCCACAGGTAAGACCGAGAGCCCCGGAAGGGGCTTTCCATCCCGGGGAGGCGCTCGCAGGCAGAGCAGGGGGAGTTGGTGCCTTGTTCTGCTCCCCGAGGGAGGAATTTTTTGACAGCGCAGAAAAATCTCACTGGGGACTGGGCAGTAGGACCCATCCCGATCCTGGGGAAAACCAGAGAAGTAGCTGGGGGGATCCGGTGCCACCTCGTGAGATTCCTAAGAGTGAAATGTGTAGGCCCGGGGAAAAGTGTTTTTTTCAGCCCCGAGAGGCTGGAAGGCTTTAGACTTTCCTGTCGTGGTCACAGCCGCTGAATCCGGGGGACCGGCGCGGAGCCAATGTGCGCTAACCCCTGCCCTCCCTCCCCTCCTCCATCCCTCCCGCACGCGCAGCATCCCGCGGCGGCAGTTACTCAGTGTACCCCGCGCTGGGGAGAAGCGGGGGGAGCTCGCAGTGGGAAAGGGGGCGGGGGCCGCGCGGGGGAGTAATGGGGAAGGAGTAGGGGAAGCCGAGGGTCCCGGTTCCAGGGCGGAGGAGGGGAGCGTGGCCCCCGGCGCCTGGCAGCCTGGGGTATCGTCGTGTTCGCTCCTGGTTGCAGACTCTTGCAAGCCGGATGCCCTCTGTGGATGAAAGATGTATCATGGAATGAACCCGAGCAATGGAGATGGATTTCTAGAGCAGCAGCAGCCTCAGTCCCCCCAGAGACTCTTGGCCGTGATCCTGTGGTTTCAGCTGGCGCTGTGCTTCGGCCCTGCACAGCTCACGGGCGGTGAGTGACCCTGCTGTGGCGGGGAGGGCCTGGGACGGCAGGGAAGGGGAGCCTGGCTGGCAGGTTAGCCTTGCCACTACGCCCCCCCCACACCCCACACTTCTGGGGTACCCGAGAATCCGAGGAGCCCCTGTGTCCCAGCCTGAGACCACCCTTCTTCAAAACTCCTGGAGTTCCCAGAAAATTCCTCTGCGGAGCCTGCATAGATTCACACACCCACATTCTGTCTGGAGCTTCCCACTAGCCGCCCATCCTGGCTTCTCTGAAGGAAAGACAATAAGCCTGGCCCATTATTTTCACTTTGGCCGAGAGAGAGAGAGAGAGAGAGAGAGAGAGAGAGAGAGAGAGACAGAGACAGAGACAGAGACAGAGACAGAGACAGAGACAGAGACAGAGACAGAGACAGAGACAGAAAGTGGTGTATTTGTAGCGAACGTGTGTTTGTGGACCTTTGACCCTGGTCTGTGCCCTCAGCAGGGAGAGGTCAGTTTTCAGCTTCTGGATTCAGGCCAGAGTTGCAAGAACCACCTTTGTGAATGTGAAGGGTCTGGAAATGTGACCAGACTGGCTGCAGGACAGCTTTATTTGAAAGTTAACTTTCTCTTTGCCTTGGGAGGTGGTGTGTTCAGGCATGCCCGTGCATGTTGGCGGTGGGGAGGGGATGCAGAGTTGTTTCTTCAGATGTGTTTCTGGAGAACTGCTTGGCTTATGCAGGTCTGAGTTACAGGGGGAATAAAGTCGAGTGCTTTTCTATGAAGTGGAAGTTAGCTGAAATCAAATTCAGAGCCTCAGTCCTCAGAAGCGGCTGCTCTCTGACGTATTCGGTTCTGGG